TTTCCTTACCCTGCCTTCAGCCCGCACCGCCTCCCCTCCCCCTCTCTCTCTGGGCCTCCGGGATCACACCTCAGTGATGTGGACAATGCCGAAGCATCCTGCTGAAGCTTCACACAGTCCGGTGGATGGACCCGGAGCTGGTGGGCGAGGGACACGAGGTCAACCCGTTTATCCTTGTGGCAGATGACGGAGAGGTGGGCAAGGTTGAAAAGGGCATTTAGGCCTTGAACGATCAACCTGTCCTCCCACTTAATACACCGCTATTATGACGCAGTCGACCACAGCGTCACAACTCATACCCTTTAGTGAAATTGGAAGCACCGTGATACTGACGCCTCCTGGGAGTACTGATGGTCAGTAAGCCAAGAGCTGTGGCTGGGTTAGTACGCTTCTGGGGGGGGGGGACTACTTCATACTTGACACTTATCGCCTGGTGGACCGAGGTGGTCCACCACGATATATTGGTGGTTCACTACGATATATTGGGGGGCCGGTTGATATATTGGTGGTCCACCATGATATACTCAGCCAGTCACGATGCAATGAAGGTTCGTCACGATATATTGATTCTCAGAGTATAGTGGCTGGAGGAGGTGTACATCTTACTTTAAGCCTTACTTTACCAGTTTTTCCTGAAACACGTCCTGCCAAGCGATTTACAACCAGCTCTTCAAATACTGCTGGGTGAACAGGGGCACACGGTGGGATTTTCCTCCCGAGAACAGGCAGCGTGACCTTTCATAGAATACAGCCCATTATACTCGAAGAGATCCCAGGTACCTATTCCCTGATGGGTGAACAGAGGCATCAGATGGAAGGTAACGTATTGACACGTCTCTCCCTGCCCAGGGTCGAACCCGGGCCTAGATTGGGGAGAGTGAGGGGGGGGGGTGTAGGTATAGGAAGGTAGTTAAGATATGGGAGAGGGGGAAGGATTGGTCAGGATGGGGGGGGGGGGAAAGATGGACATTTTGACTGTCCTATCAGCACTTATCTATCCAATAACACGGGCTCAAAGTATCCCAGCTCTAATAAATGTTAAGTTGCTCGTGGGCTTATTAGTAACATTAATGAACAAAGTACGACCTATCACAATAGGCAATATACCAGAGGAGACAATGGGGGTGCTCAGTGAGGTGCTTCCGGAGATGAGAGCGCCAGTAACCCACCAGTTGAAACACCATCAATGTGTAGGTGTTGTAGCCCTATTGTCTCCTGGGAAGGCCCCACCCCCACCCCAGCCCCCCCCCCCCAGGCCCAGCACCAAGCTCGGTCTTCTTTATTCTACACAAATTCTAATTAAATTGTTTCCAGGGGAGTAAGTTATTGGACAAAATAAATAAATTGATGACCAAGTTACCAGGGGCCAGACGAAGTGTTTGCTGGGATTATAAAACCTTCCTAACCTTACTAGTCAGCCAATTACCTTAACGTCTACTAGGGAAATTGTTTGGATCAGTGCAAAAGCCATTTGTTTACATCTTGAAAATCATAGATTAATAAAAGAATCGCAATATTCTTTTACTAAGAGTCTCTCATGTTTAATTGATTTACTTCCATTCCTTGTCAGTATACAGCAAGCAGCTGAGAGCTGGAAACATTGCACAATGTTACACTCTAACTTTACCAGAGCCTTTGATACAGTTCCGCAGAGAGACTCTGTATAAAGTTAGAGGCTCATGGTGCTAGTGCGGGGTATCCTAAGTTGGAATATGGCTTGATTATTTCAGATAAAGGAGGAAAGTAAGCATAACTAGAGTTAAGTCAGAGTGAGACCTCTGTTGTAATAGTGTCCCCAGGGCTCTGTGTTGGGCCCTCTGTTGTAATAGTGTCCCCAGGGCTCTGTGTTGGGCCCTCTGTTGTAATAGTGTCCCCAGGGCTCTGTGCTGGGACCTCTGTTGTAAGTGTAGTGTCCCCAGGGCTCTGTGTTGGGACCTCTGTTGTAAGTGTAGTGTCCCCAGGGCTCTGTGCTGGGACCTCTGTTGTAAGTGTAGTGTCCCCAGGGCTCTGTGTTGGGACCTCTGTTGTAAGTGTAGTGTCCCCAGGGCTCTGTGTTGGGACCTCTGTTGTAAGTGTAGTGTCCCCAGGGCTCTGTGTTGGGACCTCTGTTGTAAGTGTAGTGTCCCCAGGGCTCTGTGTTGGGACCTCTGTTGTAAGTGTAGTGTCCCCAGGGCTCTGTGTTGGGACCTCTGTTGTAAGTGTAGTGTCCCCAGGGCTCTGTGTTGGGACCTCTATTGTAAGTGTAGTGTCCCCAGGGCTCTGTGTTGGGACCTCTATTGTAATAGTGCCCCCAGGGCTCTGTGCTGGGACCTCTATTGTAATAGTGTCCCCAGGGCTCTGTGCTGGGACCTCTATTGTTTACTATATGTATATGTATACACAATACCTATATCGTGTATTCATGATTTAGAAACAGGATTGTACAGCAACATTTTAAAATTTTCCGACGATATAAACAAAAATGCGGGAAATAAATTGATATGAGACTCAAATTCGCTACAAGACGATCTAGAGAGACAATTTAAAATGACGAAAGATTGTCAGATACCGCTTAATGCTAAATAAAAATATATAGCGTCTTAAACTTATATACCACGTACAAGCTGAGCAATGTTGACATTATTAGACCCGATAACGAATAGGTCTGGCGTGTTGTGCTTAGTGAAGGTCCAGACGAGGAGTCACAATACGTGGCTGAACTATGTTGACCAGACCACACACTAGAAGGTGAAGGGACGACGACGTTTCGGTCCGTCCTGGATCATTCTCAAGTCGATTGTGAAAATCGACTTGAGAATGGTCCAGGACGGACCGAAACGTCTTAGTGAAGATCTTGAGCCAAAAATTCATTGGACAGACTTCCTCTGCCTGTAATGAAGCAGTGTTTTAACATTAGCAGAAACTACTGAGCCAGTGAGCAGACAATTTGCTGTACCTCGAGTCCTCTGCTAGGAGTCCTCTGCCAGGAGTCTATCCCTGGAGTAATTAAACTGGAAAGTAATTAAATAGCCATATATATTCCTAATTAAGAAAGAAGAACGAAGGAAAGAGGAACAATGATGAAATAGGGCGGCAGTTTGATGGGATCGAACTCTCGCGTCCTTGGCGTTCCCAGGGATACTAGTTCGATTCCTTTGTATGGCTTTAAACCTTCTCATAGATACATCGCCATCTTGTGCAGGCGATAAGTCACAATAACGTGGCTGAAGTATGTTGACCAGACCACACACTAGAAGGTCAAGGGCCGACGACGTTTCGGTCCGTCCTGGACCATTCTCAAGTCGGACCATTCACAATCGACTTGAGAATGGTCCAGCACGAACCGAAACGTCGTCGTCCCTTCACCTTCTAGTGTGTGGTCTGGTCAACAATCACCATCTTGTGTTTTTCCTGTACAAAGAGGAACTACTTCAAACAAAAGGAAGAATGCGCCGCTGGAGTGACGAAAGGTAAACCAGGTGAGTAGTTAGTGAACTCATTCAGGGGCAACCAGGCAGACCCAACTGTCTATCACTCATATGGAAGCGCAAGTGAGTCGAAGGAATGGTACGCGGTCACCACGTGGAAGGCCCCTGAAGGAACACGTTGTGGAAACCACCTCACCCCATAACTTTAAGGCCATATTCCAGAAAGAATTCGGAACAATTCAGCAGGAACAGGAACAACACGGCCATGAGGCCCGGGGAGGGAGAGCTGGACCTCACGTCCCAGTAGTCACTATTAGGTAAGTGTTCAATAACAAAAAGTAGATCCACTGTGACCTTTGACCCGCAAACAATTGATAATTGGCTTAACAACCATTACCGTCCTATTACAATCACGCCGTCTGGCGACTTACCTTATAATGGTTTAGCTACTTTCTTCCCCCCCTATCTACCTGTCAGTGGACATCACCAGATGATATCACTTCTACAGCACACGTCACCAGATGATATCACTTCTACAGCAGACGTAACCAGATGATATCACTTCTACAGCAGACGTCACCAGATGATACTTCTACAGCAGACGTAACCAGATGATATCACTTCTACAGCAGACGTCACCAGATAACATCATTACCACAAGAGACATCACCATACATCATCATGACAACAGACATCACTACCACCATAAACATCACCAGACGACATCAAGGCGACATCTCACCTCTATACCAATTTCCAGAGCTTAGAGCTTCCCCTATTTAAACTACGGTTATACAAGATCTTTCCAATTTACCGTAATAAACCTTCACAGTTATGCCAATTATCGACCGGTCACGTTCACTCGACAGCCTGCAGCATGTTACAAAATGCTAGCCACAAAAGTCTCGTTTGATCAGACGCCAGTTGGTTACTCTTGCATTGACGGCAGTCACCAAAATATGCAACCTGTCCTCTCACTTAATCTTTTTTTGTTACGGAGTGGACCACTGCGGCAGAAATGTGACGTATTGGTAGCAAATGAAAGCACCGTAATATCGACGTTTAACGTGCAAGGGCCTCGATGGGCTAGGTGGGTTGGTTGGGTTGGTACGTTTCTAGGTAGAGGAAAGGTTATAGAGATGAGAGGAGGCGGTGAGAGGTGGTGGCTCTGTTGGGAGCAATGTTAAGGCCCGGGGTTCGAACTCCGGCAGCTGAGGGAAGGTCTGCAATATCACTTGAATGATTTTGTCGCATTTCGGGGAGGTGCCTTCACTGCATTCCTCAACACTGATCAGTTCCTTCCTTTCTTCCTTTCTTTCTCCTGCCTTCATTTCCTCCGCTTCCCCAGATAACCGCTACAGCTTCCGTCCTGCTCTCAGGAGGCTGAGAGCCTCCCCCCCCCCATCTCTCTCTCTCTCTCTCTCTCTCTCTCTCCCACTGCCACAAGTCACACCATTACGACCAAACACCAATAAGGTTACACTTCTAATAACAAAATAAAAGTTGTACTTCCCTACAGACCTGCCAGTGTGTACAGGGGTGTGAGCTCTAGCTCCCGTGTCCCGCCTACTGCCTTTCTTCTCCCCTTATGTTTTACTTACTCCGATGTTCCAATTCTTGGTCGAATCTTGCCTTAATGTTGTGGATGGAGGTTTCCTTCAACACGTCGTCTCTCAGTATATTCCACATGTAGACCACTCGTACAGTGTAACAGTATTTTCTTACATTTTCTCGACTCATTTGAGCGTCTTTATCTCTCGTGTAGATTTTTTTTCTGCATGAGATTGAGAATATTTTTCAAATATTTTCCTGCACTTGATGTAAATATACTTCATTTGCCGTATTTACCTGACGGCAACTAACTCTAGTGGCCTCAATGAGGACAGGAAGCTGCTGGCTTGTCGAAGGTCTCCCCAATTTGCCTTGATGATCAGGTAGATTTTAAAAACTTGATACAGTTTTGGCATTTACGGCTTCGGCGGGTAGGCGGTTCCATGGGTTTATAACCCTGTGGGTGAAGAAGCATCTCCTGTTATCAGTCCTACACTGTGGCTTGTTGAGCTTGAAATCGTTGCTCCTTGTTTGTGTTACATCTGATCTTTTGAAGAAATTGTCAGGATCAACATCCTCCAACTTGTTCAGTATTTTAAGTTTCAATGAGATTCGCCCTGTCATGCCTGGTTTGCAGTGTTGTTAGCCCTGTGGCCCTCAACCACTCCTGATACAAGAGATGCCTTATCTCTGGAATAACTTTTGTTTCCGGTGTTGCCCTTCCTGCAGCGCAACTATGTCCTTCTGAAAATAAGGTCTGGATCCATACTTAGATACAGTCATCCAAATGGGGGCGCACCGGCGATTTAAACAGTTAAATCACTACCTTCTTTTTCTTAAAGTCAAATGAAGGGTTGATTATTCCAAGAGTTTAGTTAGCTTTTCTGACTGCTGCTCCTATCTGCTGTGCAACTTTTAGTGAATTTTGGATTTTGACTCCATGGTCCTTTTCTTCATCAGTTTGTTGTAATGTAATGCTTTTAGTTTGGTAGTTGTAACGTGGGTTGTTATGTCCCACATGGAGGGTCTTGCATTTGTCAATATTAAAACGCATTTGCCAGACTTCTGACCATTTGTGGAGTTCATGTAGATCTCTTTGTAAGGTGCCAATATCATGATCATTTCGCACTTTACCATAAATCTTTTTGTCATCTGAAAATTTGATAATGTGGTTTGTGATATTCTCATATATGTCATTGGTGTATATGACAAAAAGGATTGGCCCCAAAATGGACCCCTGTGGCACCCCAGTTACCACATTTCGTCAGTGAGATTCGTTCCCATTTAGCACGACCCTTTGTTTTCTTTCTTTCAACCATTGTTTTATTCATTCTAATATTTTACCCATGGACCTGTAATTTCCTTGCCAGTGTTTCATGTGGTGCCTTATCAAAAGGTTTAGCAAAATCCATGTATACTACATTCACCGGAAGGCCTTTGGCAGAGTAGCTGGTTACATTTTCGAAAATGTGAGCAGGTTTGTAAGGCAGGATCTGTTTGTAACAATCCCATGTTGTGTCGATTGTACAAGATTGTTCACTCAAAGATGGTGAATCATTCCCTCCCTGAGGGTTCTCTCCATGAGCTTGCACATGTGTCATGTCAAGCTGATTGGCCGGTAGTTTTCTACTGAGCTCTTTCTGTTTTTTTTTTTTTAAATAGGGGTGACATTTGCATATTTCCAATCCATGGGAACTATCCCTTGGTCTAGAGATTTTGTGAAAAGCAATTTTACTGAAATATTTTAAGACATAGTTCTTCTGCCAGTTCCTATAAGACTTTGGATTGGATTCCATCCACACCTGGGGCTTTGGAATCTTTTAGTTTATCAATGTTCTTCCTGATTATGTCGCATGTAATGGGTATATTCCTAAATTAATTCTCTTCGCTTTCTTCAAACATGTGTGTGTGGGTGATGGGATGTCATCTAAGCCTTCTAGTGTGAACACTGAAGTAAAATATTCATTCAGGGTGTTTGCTGCCCGTTAATCGTCCATTATATCTTGGTTGGTCTCATCTTTTAAGGACTCGACCGAGTCCTTTTTTTGGGTTTTACTTCTTATATAGGCATAGAACGATTTTGGATCTTCTTGTATGTTTTGGGCAAGTTTTCTTTCGTAGTTTCTTTTTGGCTGATGTTTAATCAATGTTGTCCATCGTGGATTTATAGGTTTTCCAGAGGTTTCTCTTGGTGACCTCTGCTAGTTTTACCACCTGTGTCACCCATCGAGTCCCCTTTCTTATTTTTTTTACTTTTTCGGTACATATTTTTGAACGAGTTCCGTGATGACCTGGAAATTTTGGCATGATGCTTCCATGCCTTGATCACCTGTCAGCTCCCTCCAGGAGGTGTTATGCAGCTCCTCTCTCATTCCTTGATGGTCTTGAATTCCTACTCTAGGAATTCATCATTATTGACCTTCATGTGGGGGTCTATATGTATCAACACACAACAAGGAGCGGAGAGTGTGAACGTGATGCATCATTTTTATGGGGGGTGAGAGGCCTTACTTGCCAGGTGTCTCCACACGCGCGTGTGTGTGTGTGTGTGTGTACTCACCTACTTGTACTCACCTAGTTGTGCTTGCGGGGTTTGAGCTCTGGCTCTTTGGTCCCGCCTCTCAACCGTCAATCAACAGGTGTACAGGTTCCTGAGCCTATTGGGCTCTATCATATCTACACTTGAAACTGTGTATGGAGTCAGCCTCCACCACATCACTTCCTAATGCATTCCATTTGTCAACCACTCTGACACTAAAAAAGTTCTTTCTAATATCTCTGTGGCTCATTTGGGCACTCAGTTTCCACCTGTGTCCCCTAGTGCGTGTGCCCCTTGTGTTAAATAGCCTGTCTTTATCAACCCTGTCGATTCCCTTGAGAATCTTGAATGTGGTGATCATGTCCCCCCTAACTCTTCTGTCTTCTAACGAAGTGAGGTTCAATTCCCGAAGTCTCTCCTCGTAGCTCATACCTCTCAGCTCGGGTACTAGTCTGGTGGCAAACCTTTGAACCTTTTCCAGTTTAGTCTCATGCTTGACTAGATATGGACTCCATGCTGGAGCCGCATACTCCAGGATTGATCTGACATATGTGGAATATAATGTTCTGAAAGATTCCTTACACAAGTTTCTAAAGGCCGTTCTTATGTTAGCCAACCTGGCATATGCTGCTGATGTTATCCTCTTGATATGAGCTTCAGGGGACAGGTCTGGCGTGATATCAACCCCCAGGTCTTTCTCTCTGACTCTTGAAGTATTTCATCTCCCAAGTGATACCTTGTATTTGGTCTCCTGCTTCCTACCCCTATCTTCATTACATTACATTTGCTTGGGTTAAACTCTAACATCCATTTGTTCGACCATTCCTGCAGCTTGTCCAGGTCTTCTTGAAGCCTCAAACTGTCCTCCTCTGTCTTAATCCTTCTCATAATTTTGGCGTCGTCAGCAAACATTGAGAGGAATGAGTCTATACCCTCTGGGAGATCATTTACGTATATCAGAAACAGGATAGGTCCAAGCACAGAGCCCTGTGGGACTCCACTGGTGATTTCACGCCATTCTGAGGTCTCACCCCTCACTATAACTCTCTGCTTCCTATTGCTTAGGTACTCCCTTATCCACTGGAGCGCCCTACCAGTTACTCCTGCCTGTTTCTCCAGCTTATGCATCAACCTTTTATGGGGTACTGTGTCAAAGGCTTTCCGACAGTCCAAAAAAATGCAGTCCGCCCATCCTTCTCTTTCTTGCTTAATCTTTGTCACCTGATCATAGAATTCTATCAAGCCTGTAAGGCAGGCAAGATTTACCCTCCCTGAACCCATGTTGATGTGTTGTCACGAAGTCTCTTCTCTCCAGATGTGTTACCAGGTTTTTTCTCACAATCTTCTCCATCACCTTGCATGGTATATAAGTTAAGGACACTGGCCTGTAGTTCAGTGCCTCTTGTCTGTCACCCTTTTTAAATATTGGTACTACATTAGCAGTCTTCCATACTTCTGGTAGGTCTCCCGTTTCCAGTGACCTACTATACACTATGGAGAGTGGCAAGCAAAGTGCTCCTGCACACTCTTTCAATACCCATGGTGAGATTCCATCCGGCCCAACAGCTTTTCTCACATCCCACTCCAATAGGTGCTTCTTGACCTCATCTCTTGTAATTTCGAACCTTTCCAAGGTCACCTGGTTTGCTGCCACTTCTCCTAGCGCCGTGACTTCTCCTTGTTCTATTGTAAAGACCTCCAGGAACCTTTTGTTGAGTTCTTCACACACCTCTTTGTCATTCTCTGTGTACCTGTCCTCGCCCACCCTAAGTATCATCACCTGTTCCTTCACTGTTGTCTTCCTCCTGATGTGACTGTGTAGTAGCTTGGGTTCGGTCTTGGCTTTATTAGCTATATCATTTTCATACCTTTTCTCAGCTGCTCTTCTCACACTGACATACTCGTTCCTGGTTCTCTGGTATCTCTCTCTCTACTTTCTGGTGTTATTTTATTACGGAAGTTCCTCCACGCCCTTTTGTTCAGCTCCTTTGCTTTCATACATTCCCTATTAAACCACGGATTCTTCCTTTGCTTCTCTGTTTTTTCCTGTTGGGCTGGGACAAACCTGCTTACAGCCTCCTGATATTTTTGGGTGACATAGTCCATCATGTCTTGTACGGACTTGGTTCCGAGTTCTGTGTCCCAATGTATATCCCATAGGAATTTATTCATCTCCTCATAGTTTCCCTGTGTGTGTGTGTGTGTGTGTGTGTGTGTGTGTGTGTGTGTGTGTGTGTGTGTGTGTGTGTGTGTGTGTGTGTGTGTGTGTGTGTGTGTGTGTGTGCGTGTGTGTGTGTGTGTGTGTGTGTGTGTGTGTGTGTGTGTGTGTGTGTGTGTGTGTGTGGTGTGGAAAAGATAGTAGTAGTAGTAGTAGAAACAGATGATTGACAGTTGAGAGGCGGGCCAAAAGAGCAGAGCTCAACCCCCGCAAGCACAACTAGGTGAATACACACACGTGCATAGTGCGTACACATAAACGCACACATGAAACTGGAAAAGGTTAAGAAGTTTGCAACGAGACTGGTCCTAGAGTTACGAGGGATGGGGGTATGAAGAGCGCCTGAGGGAACTGTGCCTTACGACACTAGAAAAAAGAAGGGAAAGTGGGGACATGATAGGAACGTATTAAATACTCAGGGGAAATTGACAGATTGGACGTAGACGAAATGTTCACACGGAATAGTAACAGAACGAGGGGACATGGGTGGAAGCTGGAAACTCAGATGAGTCACAGAGATGTTAGGAAGTTTCCTTTTAGGGGGCGTTATTTCCAAATTTGCCCAAAATATGCAATAAATGAAAACTCGTTCGATTTCAATCAAACTTTTTTGACAAGTTGTATATGAAAAGGGTTTCATCTGGTCCAAGTTTCAGCATCGTAGCATAAATAGGCATAAATAGGAAGGGAGAAAAAAAATATTGAATTGTGTCAAAAATTTTCCAAAATTGTCAAAAACAATTATCAAACAAAAATGTCAACTGAAATCATGTCTATGACTCTCAGTTATCACAATAGCATATATTAAAAATGAATTATAATTAGTTTTATTAAAAAAAATTGTTAAAAAAAAGGCAATTTTTTTTTAATTTTATCTCTCTGTTTTGTTTATAGGGCGATTTGCATGAATCTTATACACCTGACTGCACGTAAGCCTATCTGTAAGGGTGCCAATTTTGGAGGAAATTGGTTGATGTCAACCTCAGCCACAGATGGCAACACCTTAGACTTTATTTTTTACTTACTTGAACATTTATGTTACTTGAAAGTCCACATCTCTTTCATTTTTTATTCAATTTACATGAAACCTACACATTATATGTAAAGTTTATGTCTCTAAAATCGTAAGGAAGCGTTTTATCCTGAGTTCATTTATTGATTTTATAATAGGAATAAACATGATATATTTGCATAATTTTTTTTTTTGGGGGGAAGGAACTTAGACTATTTGTATTAGGAAAACTAAAGACGTTTTGGAAAATCCCCTCAAATTGATCCTTTATTATATGCTAATGTGCCAGAAACGTGTCATAGAATGATTATATCTGTTATATATGTTTGTTCATTTACACTTGAAAATGTGTAAAATTCTTTGAAAAAAAATAAAAAAAAATAAAAATCTCCCTTACTATTTAGGCTACAGTACTGAAACTTAGAACAATTGCAGCCCTTTTCATATACAACTAGTCAAAAAATAATGGTGGACATTGAACAACAACTTTAGTTTTCCACAGTAACGCCCTCTTTAGTGCGAGAGAAGTGGAAAAATGGAATGCACTTAAGGAACAGGTCAGGGAAGCAAACTCTGTTCAAAATTTTAAAACTAGGTATGATAGGGAAATAGGACCGGGGTCATTGCTGTAAACAACCGATGGCTCGAAAGGCGGGATCCAAGAGTCAATGCTCGATCCTGCAGACACAAATAGGTGATTACACACGCGCATACACATGTACATACAATCGAACACCAACACATACACACGCACACACTCATGTACATACAAACACACACACCAACTCATATATACAAACACACACACCAACACATACACACGCACACACTCATGTACATACAAACACACACACCAACTCATACACACACACACACACAGAGGAATTAATCATGCAGGTAAGAGGAGAGAGCTTACGAGAGCCAGACCACACGGGGGGGGGGGGGATCATGGCGCTAATATATGTTAACGACCGGACAGAGGAAATTGGATCCTTCATCTTAGTGTTTGTAGATGATGCAGACCTGGAGAGAGGTGCCAGGGGCACAGTCTGTGGTACCTTGTACATGATCAGGTCACACTCGGGAAGGTCACTCTTGGGAAGGTCACACTCGGGAAGGTCACTCTTGGGAAGGTCACACTCGGGAAGGTCACACTCGGGAAGGTCACTCTCGGGAAGGTCACACTCGGGAAGGTCACACTCGGGAAGGTCACACTCGAGAAGGTCACACTCGAGAAGGTCACACTCGGGAAGGTCACACTCGGGAAGGTCACACCTGGGAAGGTCACACTCGAGAAGGTCGCTCTCGGGAAGGTCACACTCGAGAAGGTCACACTCGGGAAGGTCACACCTGGGAAGGTCACACTCGAGAAGGTCGCTCTCGGGAAGGTCACACTCGAGAAGGTCACACTCGGGAAGGTCACACCTGGGAAGGTCACACTCGAGAAGGTCGCTCTCGGGAAGGTCACACTCGAGAAGGTCGCTCTCGGGAAGGTCACACTCGGGAAGGTCACACTCGGGAAGGTCACACTCGGGAAGGTCACACTCGAGGTCACACTATGAAGGTCACACTCGGGAAGGTCACACTCGAGGTCACACTATGAAGGTCACACTCGAGGTCACACTATGAAGGTCACACTCGAGGTCACACTATGAAGGTCACACTCGAGGTCACACTCGGGAAGGTCACACTCGGGAAGGTCACACTCGGGAAGGTCACACTATGAAGGTCACACTCGGGAAGGTCACACTATGAAGGTCACACTCGGGAAGGTCACACTATGAAGGTCACACTCGGGAAGGTCACACTATGAAGGTCACACTCGGGAAGGTCACACTCGGGAAGGTCACACTATGAAGGTCACACTCGGGAAGGTCACACTCGGGAAGGTCACACTATGAAGGTCACACTCGGGAAGGTCACACTCGGGAAGGTCACACTATGAAGGTCACACTCGGGAAGGTCACACTCGAGGTCACACTATGAAGGTCACACTCGGGAAGGTCACACTCGGGAAGGTCACACTCGGGAAGGGGTTTGAACAAATAACTGCTAGAATTTAACGCAGTTAAATTTACCTGAATTTACCTGAGGGAACTATCTGACTATAGCGGCCTCGACGATGACAGGAAGTCTTCGGCTTGTCAAAGGTCTCGCCATATGAACAAATCCACAAGGGCCGTGACGAGGATTCGAACCTGCGTCCAGGAGCATCCCAGACACTGCCTTAAATTCAGTCATGTTTTGGCATTTACGGCTTCGGCGAGTAGGCGGTTCCATAATTTTACAACCCTATGAGTGAAAACAGCGTCTCCTGTTCTTAGTCCAACATTGTGGCTTGTTGAGCTTAAAACCTTTGCTTGTGTTATTCTGTTTGTTAACACAAACCTCCTGTTTGTGTTATTTCTGACCTTTTGGTGTAAGACAAAGTTTGGAGGATTGGAACAGACGCGAGAAGACCTGGACAGCAATTTAGGATGAAGGGAAGACAGATTCTCGAATCAGAGAAAGACCTGGGCATAGGCTTTACCCCAAATTTAATGCCAGAATGCTAAGAAGTCAGATGACAAACAGCATAGACTCACACGCAGGAATCTACATCAGCCTGGACAACATGGGTTCAGAACAAGACGCTCCGGACTCTCACAGTTGGTAGACCACTATGACATGGCCTCATGATGACCACACTACATGTCACAACATGGAGAAACGACCACGTCTTTGTCCCTCATGGTCCATTATCAAGTGTGTGAACCTCACACACACACACACACACACACACACACACACACACACACACACACACACACACACACACACACACACACACACACACACACTATCCAGCAACACAGGAAATAGCCGTAATGTTTCCACACCTGGCTGACCCCGACCATGCTTGTAAGCCCTTCTTCCTCTACACTGTTACAGCGTGAGAACTTTCTCTCATACCTCACTATCTTACTTTCTCTCTCTCTCTCTCTCTCTCTCTCTCTCTCTCTCTCTCTCTCTCTCTCTCTCTCTCTCTCTCTCTCTCTCTCTTACCCAACCACTTGGGCTAGACGGTAGAGCGACGGCCTCGCCTCATGCAAGTCAGCGTTCAATCCCCGACCGTCCACGTAATTGGCCCCCATTCCTTCCTGCCCGTCCCATCCCATATACTTATCCTGATCCCTTCCCAGTGCCATATAGTCCCAATGGCTTGGCGCTTCCTCCTGATCGTTGCCCCTCCCCCCCTTCCCTCCCAACACGGGAGACAGAGGGAGGATTCAGCTGCTGGGAACACAACAAAGGACTATAGAGTATAAAGAATGATATGTTCACTTAAACATTCTTCCGTTGTTGTTGTTGTTAAAGATTTAGCTACTCAGGACGAAGTGTCCATGTAGCACGGGCTATGGTGAGCCCGTAATTGAGTTTGGTTATACATGATAACCTTTTTCCTGTGATATTTGGGTCTAAGTTTAAAATGGAGGAGAGGACTTCTCCTTTTTCCCTGCTTATTTATCGCTTCTGTTTTAGTGCACTGGTTTTAATCTTGTTTTATTAACATTATCTTGGTGGCGGATGTAGGTGCAGAATGCTCACTAATGAGTCCCATTCCTCAACGGCTTTTCTAATCATTGTAGTCGCGGTGGAATGTGCATCTAATGCAGCTGCTGTCGTTGGATTAATGTTGAGTTTGATGCGCAGGGCTTCAGTAGCTTCACATTCCAGTAAGTAGTGCAATAGTGGCGCCTCTGCTTCTGTTCCACAGATATGACACTCTTTAACTATTGGGTTCATTACCTCCCAGCAGCACTTGTAACCAAGTCTGAGTCTGTGTATGGCTACTGCAATGTCTCTGGATATCTTTTTGCCAGGCTTGAAAGAGTAGTATCCAGTGGCTTGTTCGTACCATATCGCAGTGGATCTTCCTTCCGCTACTTTGGCTCTGTGGCGACTTTTGATAGTTGAGAATATTTTCTTCTTGATTTGCTCCTTTATCTGTGAGAAACTTGGAGGTATTTGAACCTGTACAACAGTTAAAGCAGTGGCAGTTTTTGCTAGTGAGTCTGCCTTTTCATTACCATCTATGCCAATGTGACTTGGTATCCAATTTAGGGTTATTGACAGCCCTCGATTATGGGCATCTTTTCCTATATGTTGAATTTCTGTGAGGAGTTGTATATTATCTCTGTGCTGACTAGATAACAATGCCTGGAGCAAAGATTTAGAGTCGGTATGAATGATGACATCATGTAAATTATTCTCAATTGTATAGTTTATTGCCTCCTTCAGGGCATACAATTCTGTTTGCAATGTTGAGCATCCACTGTTCATGCTCCAGTAAACTTCATGGTTGGTAGTGTAAACTGCTGCCCCAGCAGAACCTCTTTCGATCAACTGATCCGTCTGTGAAGATGTGAGTCGTTGTCGGTCTAGAGATAGTTTCCATTTGTTGCTCTATTACTTCCTTGAGCCTCTGCGGGTCACATTCTGATTTTTTAACTTTTAATCTTTCAATGATTATCTTTAGATTCGATTCTTCCCATGGAGGAGGCTGTCGAAAGTGTTGATATGGTCTATCTTCCCCTTTGTTTTTAATGGTCCAAACATTCTTCCATTCACCATATTAAATCAACAGCACCTCTTGCCACAGGGACTCTCACCACACACTTCATGCATCAGAGTGTGTGTGCGTGACCGGGGAGCCGGTCGGCCGAGCGGACAGCACACTGGACTTGTGATCCTGTGGTCCTGGGTTCGATCCCAGGCGCCGGCGAGAAACAATGGGCAGAGTTTCTTTCACCCTATGCCCCTGTTACCTAGCAGTAAAATAGGTACCTGGGTGTTAGTCAGCTGTCACGGGCTGCTTCTTGGGGGTGGAGGCTTGGTCGAGGACCGGGCCGCGGGGACACTAAAAAAGCCCCGAAATCATCTCAAGATAATCTCAAGAAATCTCCATACATGTTGACGCTGTCCAGCACTTCGTCAAAATTCTTGTGAAATTGTCAGCAATGTTGACATCTTGGGTGGGAGAGTTCGCTTCTCTCTTGGCAAAAATCTCTTCATATTTGATTATAGATGTTTATCAGATGTTTGTTATAGCTTACAGCTGTGTATTCTAGCTTACAGCAGTGTATTCTAGCTTACAGCTGTGTATTCTAGCTTACAGCTGTGTATTCTAGCTTACATCACTGGTCTACGTGAAACATGACTGTCTCCAACCATCTGACACATAGAAGATGTCGGACTGTATTAAGAACAAAAGAACAAAGGTAAATGCAGAAGGCCTATTGGCCTGTATGAGGCAGCTTCTATCTATAACCACCCAATCCCACTCATATACATGTCCAACCCACGCTTAAAACAATCGAGGGGCCTCACCTCCACCACGTTACGCGGTAATTGGTTCCACAAATCAACAACCCTGTTACCGAACCAGTATTTACCCAAGTCTTTCCTAAATCTAAACTTATCCAATTTATACCCATTGTTTCGCGTTCTGTCTTGTGTTGATACTTTTAATACTCTATTAATATCCCCTTTGTTATGTCCATTCATCTCTTGTAAACCTCTATCATGTCACCCTTAACTCTTCGCCTTTCCAGTGAATGCAATTTAAGCTTTATTAATCTTTCTTCATATGAAAGATTTCTAATTTGGGGAATTAACTTAGTCATCCTACGCTGGACACGTTCAAGTGAATTTATATCCATTCAAACGGCGACCAAAACTGAACTGCATAATCTAAATGGGGCCTAACCAGAGCAAGATATAGCTGAAGAACAACACCCATTGTCTTGTTACTAACGCTTCGATTAATAAATCCCAGTGTCCTATTTGCCTTATTACGAACATTTATGCATTGATTTTTTGGTTTTAAGTTATTACTAATCATAACTCCCAGATCCCTTCCGCAATCTGACTTCGCAATCTCAACACCATCCCGCACGTATCTTGTAACTCTGTCATCACTACCTAACCCCAAAACCTTACATTTGTCAGCATAAAACTGCTTCTGTCAATCTTTTGACTATTTCAAAATCCTATTTAGATCGTCTTGAAGTGATAGTGAGTCTTTTTCCGTACTTATTTCCCAAATTAATTCCCTAATTGACTCCCCTAATGACTCCCTAATTAAGTCAAGTTAATTGTAATTTAAATACAATGTTTATATATATATATATATATATATATATATATATATATATATATATATATATATATATATATACATATATATATATTATATATATATATATATATATATATATATATATATATATATATATATATGTCGTACCTAGTAGCCAGAACTCACTTCTCAGCCTACTATTCAAGGCCCGATTTGCCTAATAAGCCAAGTTTTCCTGAATTAATATATTTACTATAATTTTTTTCTTATGAAATGATAAAGCAACCCTTTTCTCTATGTATGAGGTCAATTTTTTTTTATTGGAGTTAAAATTAACGTAGATATATGACCGAACCTAACCAACCCTACCTAACCTAACCTAACCTATATTTATAGGTAAGGTTAGGTTAGGTAGCCAAAAAAAGCTAGGTTAGGTTAGGTTAGGTAGGTTAGGTAGACGAAAAAACATTAATTCATGAAAACTTGGCTTATTAGGCAAATCGGGCCTTGAATAGTAGGCTGAGAAGTGTGTTCTGGCTATTAGGTACGACATATACATATATATATATATATATATATATATATATATATATATATATATATATATATATATATATATATATATATATATATATGTCGTACCTAGTAGCCAGAACTCACTTCTCAGCCTACTATGCAAGGCCTAATTTGCCTAATAAGCCAAGTTTTCATGAATTATTTGTTTTTCGACTACCTAACCTACCCAACCTAACCTAACCTAACTTTTTCGGCTACCTAACCTAACCTAACCTATAAAGATAGGTTAGGGTAGGTTAGGTAGGGTTGGTTAGGTTCGGTCATATATCTACGTTAATTTTAACTCCAATAAAAAAAAAATTGACCTCATACATAATGAAATGGGTAGCTTTATCATTTCATAAGAAAAAAATTAGAGAAAATATATTAATTCATGAAAACTTGGCTTATTAGGCAAATCGGGCCTTGCATAGTAGGCCAAAAAGTGAGTTCTGGCTACTAGGTACGACATATATATATATATATATATATATATATATATATATATATAGTATATTTTGGTAGCAGTCTTTCCTGTAGACATATATTATTAAATATGACCGAAAAAGTAAGATTAATAATTCTAACACGAATTTTCTCGATCTTTCTTATGTTTCTTTTCACTGTTGATGGTAATTGAAAAATAAATTCTCCAAAATTCATTTTTATTTCTAGTCTGACGCGACACTTGAGCGCGTTTCGTAAAACTTATTACATTTTCAAAGACTTTAGTTTACACACACACAACTGAACTATAACTGAATAGAGCTTAAACATCTTCGATTTTTTATACCTGCATTTGGGTGAGGTGATATGTTACAACAGTTTTGGATGACGTGAAAACAAACTTTCAACACAAGACAGAACACGAAACAATGGGTATTGAAGGTAAGAATGGAAGTAATTGCAGAGGGCCTACTGGCCCTATATTTCTTGATACTTCTATATTGGAGCGGAGTCTTGAAGTGGGTAGAATATAGTTGTGCATTAATTGGCTGTTG